GCGAATGGCCTGGATCCGCTATGGGGGATTCGCGATACATTACATCGAGGCAGACATGTGTTTTTTGTCGGACGCTTGCGAGTATGCACTTTGCAAGTCGTGGAACGCGCTCGGTAAGTCAACCGCGCGTATTGTGGCGCCCAATGGTAGCAACGCTGCTTTCTGGCAGTCAGCGCACATCCCGTAAATCATCGATTCTCGATTTTCAGCTCCTGCCCCTCCCACTGCAATCCAACCCCCAATTTCGCGCAATGAGTCGCGACTTTGATGCCAGGCTGGCCATGCGAAAGACTGGATCGTGCCTGCATCCCAGGCGGTTAAGCCGGAAAAGCGCAACTCAATACTTCTATACATCCAACCTTTAACCTCCCATACTATTTTTTTAGTACTTGCGAATCGACGCTGATCGACACTTGTCGACGTTAATCGACGCTAGATCGGCGCTAATCGACGCTAAATCGGAGCTATCTCATCGATTACCAGACGCTAATCGACGCTAGTGCACTCCGAAGACGGAACGACAATGTATGTTCAAGCCTAGTTTGATGATCCTCGAAGGCTGTCTCCGATGCGCCCTGCTCTCCTGGGCATGCCTGGGGGGGCGACAGCAGAAGACGAAGCTGCAGGGCGGCCTTGGCGTACAGTGTGGTGACTGCGGCCTCATTGTCCCCCCACTACTATGGCTCACTAGGATGGCTGTCGGGGCAGCCCTGATGCGAGGCGCAGCTGGAGAGTTTCCTTGGTGGCGCTCTCCAGCGTGTGCCAGACGGACAAATACCTGCACACGACGACGCCTGCGCCGACGACGACTACGCCGGCGGCGTTGGCGTCAGCGCTGACGCAGACGACGTGGCCGCGGGCTGGGGCGGCGGCGGCGAAGACGACGACTACGCCGGCGGCGTCGACGCCGACACCGACGCCGACACCGACACCGACACCGACACCGATACCGACACCGACACTGACGACGACGACTCCGACGACGACGTCGACGCCGGCGCCGACGACGACGACCACGCCGACGACGGAGATGACGACGACGATGACGACGACGACGGCGACGCAGCCGACGGGCGGGGGTCGGCGCGGGGCGACCACGGCGCCCCACTTCTGCTGCTCGGCGCGGTCGGCGGGCGTGCGCACGCGCAGGTCTCGCGGCTCGACCTCCGCGGCGGGCGGCGGCAACGGGCGGCGGGTGGCGACGAGGGACGGCGACGAGAGACGAGCGACGAGCGACGACGACGGCGGCGACGAGCGACGGACGACGGCCGATGACCACGACGAGCGGCGACGACGAACGACGGACGACGGCCGATGAGCACTACGAGCGACGACGCCGACGCCGACGACGGCGACGAGCGACGTCGGGCGATGACGACGACGGCGGCGACGAGCGACGGACGACGGGCTATGACCACGACGAGCTGGACATCATAGGGGGTGCGCAGGGGGTGGTCTCTCAGCGCGGCCGCTATCCACGACAGTGTCGCAAAGCCTAGCAGGCGTGGCACTTTCTCTGGACACCCTAAGTGGTGCGCAGGGGGGGGTCTTTCAGCGCGGTCGCTATCCACGACACTGTCGCACAGCCTAGCCGGCGTGGCACTTTCTGGACACCCTAAGGGGTGCGCAGGGGGTGGTCTCTCAGCGCGGCCGCTATCCACGACACTGTCGCAAAGCCTAGCAGGCGTGGCACTTTCTGGACACCATAAAGGGGGTGCGCAGGGGGTGGTCTCTCAGCGCGGCCGCTATCCACGACAATGTACAATGTCGCGAAACCTAGCAGGCGTGGCACTTTCTGGACACCATAGGGGGTGCGCAAGGGGTGGTCTCTCAGCGCGGTCGCTATCCACGTCACTGTCGCAAAGCCTAGCAAGCGTGGCGTTTTCTGGACACCACAAGGGGGTGCGCAGGGGGTGGTCTCTCAGCGCGGCCGCTATCCACGACACTGTCGCAAAGCCTAGCAGGCGTGGCATTTTCTGGACACCATAAGGGTGCGCAGGGGGTGGTCTTTCAGCGCGGTCGCTATCCACGACAGTGTCGCAAAGCCTAGCAGGCGTGGCACTTTCTGGACACCCTAAGGGGTGCGCAGGGGGGGTCTCTCAGCGCGACCGCTATCCACGACAGTGTCGCAAAGCCTAGCAGGCGTGGCGCTTTCTGGACACCACAAAGGGGGTGCGCAGGGGGTGGGCTCTCAGTCCACGACACTGCCGCAAAGTTTGGCACGCGCGTGGAATTTTCTGGATGCCACAAGGGGTGCGCCGGGGGTGCGGTCGCTATCCGTTTCGGCCTCGCAAAGCGTTGGCAGGCGTGGCAATTTCTCGACGCCACAGGGGGTGCTCTGGGGGTGCGGTCGCTATCCGCTCCGGGCTCGCACGCGTGGCAGGCGTGACAACTTCTCGACGCCGAAGGGAATGCGCTGGGGGTGCGGTCGCCATCCGCTTCGGGCTCGCAGAACGTGACAAGCGTGACATTTCTTCGACGCCACAAGGGGGTGCGCTGGGGGTACGGTCGCTATCCGTTTCGGGTTCGCAAGGCGTGGCAAGCGCGGTACTGTCTCGATGCTACAGGGGGTGCCTTGGGGGTGCGGTCGCTATCCATTTCGGCTTCGCAAGCCGTGGCAGGCGTGGCACTTTCTCGACGCTACAAGGGGGTGCCTCGGGGGTGCGGTCGCTATCTGTTTCGGGCTCCCAAAGTGTGGCTGGCGCGGCGCTTCTCCTCTTCCACCTCTCCTCTTGGGTGGCGTCACCAACGGTATCGGCGGGGCAGCGGCCACCAACATCATTATCACATGCTTCACTTCAGCTATCATCACTCCAGCCATAATATAAGTATGTGGGGCTCCTCGGTAACATAGTGTGTTTTTTCGTGGAGCTCCAGAGGCGCCAACGTCAACAAAAACTGCATTCGTCTCGAAATTCTGGTTTGAAAACGCCCCGGGACGAGTCCAAGGGTGTCCACGGGGCGCGAAAAATAACGATGAGGGCGCACATGATAACGAAAACGGCCATGTGACGACAAGGATGACCTCAAAACGCGCCGCAATAAGGGATATCTAATCAACATCCTTGGATGAATTTGCCAAAGTGAGCGACCCGCCCTTGGATGCGCAGGCCCAACCGTAAACCACTCTTCAGTGACATGCAGGAGGATGGCAAGACTGGAGCAGAAGGATGCCAATGCAAATGAGGATGGCGACGGTGACGACGACGACGGTGGCCGAGAGACCTGTGATCACCAGACAGGAGCGAGGGCGAGAGAGAGAGGTGGGGTGTGGAAGGGGGGAAGGAGGAGGGAAGAGGATGGAGAAGGGAGGAAGAGATAGAAAGAGAGAGAGAGAGAGAGATAGAGAGGAGGGAAGAGGATGGGGAAGAGGAGAGGAGGGGAGGAAAGAGGATAGAAGAGGGAGGAGAGAAGGGGAGGGAATAGGAGAGAAGGGGAGGAGGAGAGAGGAGGGAAGAGGAGAAAAGGGGGAGGGGAAGAGGATGGAGGGGGGCGAGAGAAAGGAGGGAAGAGGATGGGGAAGGGGAGAGGGAGGCGAAAGACGAACGATGGTGATGAAAACTTCCAGCCGCTCCTCGCCGACCGAGCCGATGAGATCCGCGGCTGGTTCCGGGGACGCTCGGCGGCGGCCAGGAAAGGGGGCCGCCACGAGGGGGGGTCGCACATCATGGCTGGAGGCATGTGCGCGGCCGAAGGGGAGGGGCGGGCCAGGGGACGCATTGATTTAGGGAGGAGGAGAAGGATAATGAGAAGGAGGAGGAGGAGGAGGAGGAGGAGGAGGAGGAGGAGGAGGAGAAGGAGATAAACACGCGTGTTCTGGCATGCACGTGGGTGCCACTGGTCTCGGTCGGCACCCTGGCCGAGCGCGCGGCAGCACGCTCGCGGCAGGGAAGGCCAGCGGCCTCAGCGCGCATCCTCTCTGGCGGCACGAGCTCAGAGCTCGAGGAACAGCCTGATGGACGGCCGCTGCCGCTCCTCCGCTCGTCGCTCCTCCAGGGGCCGCTCGTGCTGCAGCTCCCTGGGCCCGTGGGAGTGCACGGGTGTCTCGTTGCGCGCCTCCGCAGGGCGGCAGGGGCTCTGGGCCCCCGCTCGGCTTCCAGGCTGACTCCCTGCGCGCTGGCGTTCTGCTCGCCTGCCTCTGGCATGCGCCGCGGTGGCCTAACCCCTCGCCGCGCTGGGGGCCTCTGCGACCTAACCCCTCGCCGCGCTGGGGTACTTGGTGGCCTAACCCCTCACCGCGCTGGGGTACTCCGTGGCCTAACCCCTCGCCACGCTGGGGGCCGCTGCGGTCTAACCCCTCACCGCGCTGGGGTCTGTGGTGGCCTCACCCCTCGCCGCGCTGGGGTCCGCTGTGGCCTAACCCCTCGCCACGCTGGGGGCCGCTGCGGCCTAACTCGCCGCGCTGGGGTTCTTGGTGGCCTAACCCCTCGCCGCGCTGGGGCCCACTGCGGACTAATCCCTCACCGCGCTGGGGTGGAGGAGAAGGAGGAGGAGGAGGAGGAGGAGGAGGAGGAGGAGGAGGGGCCATGAGATCCGGGGAGCTATCGTGGCCCAGGTCGTGATATCCGCCCCCCCAATCATCCGGGGCACAAAAAACAAGACCACAAGTCCCAAAACCCTGAGGTCCGCACGGATTTCTTGGATCGGCGCTGGACCCTTCTCCCTGGCGCAGAACGCGCCAAAGGCGCCGCCTGGGGGATCCAGCGTCGATCCGAGAAATCCGCACAGACCTCAGAGTTCTTATGTTTATGCCACTGTTTGTTCCCAGATCATCGACCCCACCTCTTGGCCGCCCGCGATGGTGCAGGTCGGGGGCGTTCACGAGGGGGGCGTCCAAGAAGGGGGGGGTGCAAATCATGGCCGGCGGCATGTGCCCGGCCCGCGGGGGGGCCGGAGACGCACTGAAATGAGAAGAGGCGCCATGAAATCTGGGGAGATATCATGCCCCCCACCATGATGGCCCCCCCCCAAATCATCACCCCCCTCTTGGCCGCCCCCGATGGTGCCGGGGACAGGCTGACTTCCCGCAGTGTATCGCCGGGATTCTCTGTGCTGCAGCCTCCCACGGCGAGCACCGCCACGGGTCAGTGGAACATCGACGCGCGGCTCGGCACGTCAAAGCCTTGCCATCCCTGGGCTGCGCGGCTGGTCATCATCGTCACGACACAATGTATCGAGGACTCGAGGGATCGAGGCAGGAGGTAGCCCCCCGAAGGGTACGCACCTCTTCGAGGGATACCTGCGAATGCCCCCTGGAGACCAAAGCGCAGTCCAAACACACTCAGACAGCAAAATTCGCTGGCCCAGCGGGCCAGAGGCGTGCTAAGATCTCCAGTAACTGCGTGCAGTATTTCTACTTCGCTCGCGCGGAGCGGCCCCTGAGGATCCCTGGACGAAAAGTACCCTGGGCGGTCCCCGGCCGGGTCGGGTCAGAGATGGTTTTGGCGCCGCCCTCGAGGTCGTCGCCCTCCAGAGAGCTCCAGGAAGGGCCAAGAGGCCCCCAAGAGGCCCCCAAGGTAGAACAAGAGGGCTCCGAGATGCCAAAAGATCGCTCCAATATGCCCAAGATTGCCCCCAGACGCTCCAAGAGGCCTCCAAAAGCACTCCCAAGAGGGCCCAAAGAGGTAAAATTCATTCTTTTGTTTCGTAAGTTTTGGGCAGTTTTTGACGTTTCCCCCTGTTCGGTTCCCGACGCCTCAAGATGGCCCAAGAGGTCCCCAAGATCGCCCCAAAAGGGTCCAAGAGGGCCCCAAGAGAGCCTCAAAACGGCCCCAAAGGGCTCCATGACCGCCCAAAACGACCCCAAGACGGCCCAAAAAGGCCCTAAGAACGCCCTAAGAGAGGCCCCAGAGGGGGAGCACGAAACGACATTTCGAGCTCGGCCATAAGGAGCCCCCAGGAGGCCCCAGAGGTCCCCAAGAGGCCCCCAACAGGCGGTCAGGAGGCCGCCAAGAGGCCCCAAAGAGCCCCCCCAAAACTTCAGGTTAAAACGCCCCCGAAAGCTTCGGGGAACTCCCGAGAACTTCCTGTGCACTGCCCCTCAGAAGCTCACGACAGCTCCTCGAGGAGACCCCACCCTCCGACACGAGGTTTCCACCATCGCACCAGATCTCTCCTCCTCTCACTCGAACGGCCCCCAAGCGAGCTTCCGCAGGCAACGATCCCCCACGAAACACCAGAAGCCCCACAGGGTGGCAAACACCCAGAAACCACAGAAGAAACCAACGAACCTCCGACATCTTCCCCACAATGTCCAAACGACCGCCACGCGGCTTCTCCACGGGAGCTGCTTGCACCCCAGACATGCCAAAAACAATGCTTCACAGAAACACGCGCCGACCCTGCAACTCCGGACTGCCAGCGACCACTCGGCCAGCCGACACAGCTGTGCGCAAAAATGGGCCGGCGGAGTGAGCGAAGCGATTGAGTAATCAGAGTGAAGGGGCCGAACGGTCATTCACCCTCGCTGGGTGCGTGGCTGAATTGGGGTTCTGCGGTGCGGATTGAAATTTCATTTCTTAAAGAATAATTGTTGTTAATCCCCCCCGCCTGGTGCCCATTGTGTTTTCAACTGAAGTGCTCCTCCTGGGGCTCGCACCCTGTAGTTCACAAGGGAAACTCTTTGAGCTCAGAATGCGCCCCTGGCCCCCGAGTTACAGCAACCATGACTCCCGCTTGATACTCCCTCACAATTGATTACAAAGTCGCGCTCTCGAGCTGACGTTCTCATAATGTGTGCACGAATCGCGCTCTCGCGTGGCACTTTCCTACGATGTACTGCCACGCCATGACCCCAAGGCTTCAGAATCACGCTCTCGCTTTGGATTTCCCCGCGATCTACTTAGGGATCGCGCTACAGCTCGAAGCGTCCTTGCGGTTCATTTTGAATTGACACTTCGGCGGCTTGCCCGCTCGACCCGGCCGTCTGGGCCCGCCCGCCCGACCTTCCCGTCAGGGTCCGCCCGCCCGACCCGCCCGTCTGGTTATGCCGCTTGTGCTCCTGCCCCTCACCCCATTCCTGCAAAACCTTCTTGTGCTCCGTCCTTCTCCTTCCCCTTTGTCTCTTCCCTTCTCCCTTCCTTCGCCCGTTTCAGCGGCTGCGTTAACTACAAGTGGCAGCTAGGAAAGAGATACCCCCAAGGGGAGTACGATCGAAGACGAATAAGGCGGGGTATCAACTGCATGGGATAACACGTGCCTTAAAATTATGGTAAGAACTGAATTATAGTCATCAGACAGTCATGATGGTTCGACGCCCTGCATCCGCCCTGGCGCTCTCGCCTCGGCGCCAGCTTTGTTTCCTCCGAAAATGAAGCTCACGCTCAGGCGTTTCGGGGAACCGCCGAAACGCCCCCCCAACAACAAAAACGCTCCGCTCGAGACTTCCTCCTTTTCTACTCGGGACTGGGGCTCTTGCTCGTCGCCGAAAACCGGCTTTCCAACAAAACCAGCGTCCACGCTCGAGATTTCATTGCTTTTTACTCAGGACCGACGCTCCCGCCTCGGCGCCGCAAGCGGCTCCCTTGCAAATCCCGACGCTCCCGCTCGATATTTCCTCCACTTGTAATAAAGACTCCCGGAGGCCCTAAGGTTCCCTTACTCCTTGTTGTACCTTCATTCGTTTTGAGTTTTTATTGTTGGATACCGTACATGCGCCCAGGCGCTCTCGCCTCGACGTTG